ACGTGTGGGTCCCACGTCCAATTCTTATCTCTCCATCATCCCTTGGGAAAGAGTGACATCCCATCCAATCCAATCTCTTTTAGTTTTGATAAAAATTATTAAATCTAAAACAATCAATTTTATTTTGGGAAAATATAACAAAACAACGAACAACGAGAAGGGAAGGAAAGAGCATAGCAGCAATTTTTATAAGGCTTGTGGTAACCTTTTTGTTTCTTTTTCTCCATTTTAAAACTTTATTAAAAAATCTAAAAATTTTATAATTAATTATGTTTCCAGACTCTCATAATTTGAAAATATTCTCAAAAGTCTATAAAAATTTTTAAAACTTCCTTATTTATTATAAACATAAATATAAATATATTTGATCATTCTTAAATTCATAAGTTTTGGGTGATGTTATTATATTTTTCTTCATTAAAAGTGAAGAAACAAAAACATTATCAAATAAGTCTTTAATAAAGGAGAAAATTGAGAGGAAGAATTTCGGTGGAAAAAAAATAGAAATAGGATGGTGATTAAGGAGTTAATTAAGTAAAAAAAGTGAGGAAACGGCGGGGTGGGGGCATGTGAGTATGAGGCATGGGGGGTTTGGTGAGAGGTCACATCAATGGCACGCCAGCAAGAATGTGATCATAAAATTTGCATTATTCCATTTCATTACACGCCGTTTCCACACCTCATTGCTCATAAATCTATTCTAATTCTATTTTTTCTAAACTTCAAAAAACCTCAAATTACGAGTGTTCACATCATGACGAGGGGTGCTTTCTGTCCTCACAGAAAATTAATGACCTGAATAGTTTCTCGTTCCACGTAAATATCTAGATACACACCAAGATATAAGTAAAGAATAAATCGTAAAACACAAGAGGACGATACAACAAATTATATTGATTTACCAACTAAGAGCTTCCACTCAGTGGATAATTCATTAATATTATTAAAGATTGAATTACAATAAACTCTCCCCAAAATTATCCATCAGAGGTCCCAACAAAAGTTTATAGCTTCTCACAATCTAACACAATTACTTAGGTACACGAATGAAAAACTCACAATAGAATCAAGATTTAATTACCCTAGATATGTCGATCTTGATATGCTCCAATGCCTCTACCAATAACAAAAGCCTCTATTTCAAAACTACGGCAAAGCTGCTCAAAATTGGCTGAGTAACCCTAAAATTCGAAACTGCAGTGTTTATAAAGTCGATACAGCGCCATGGCGCTATGGACGGACAAAACGCCCGTGCACCCCCATCAGGACAGCACCCTGGCTTGCAGTGCCCCGCTTCACCTGTTTTTCATTATTTCTCCATCCTTACGCGTCCCGACTTGATCCCAACTCATCCTTAGCTCGTTTCGACGTTAGACACATGCACATATACGAGAGATGACAGGATCCCACGTGGAACATGGTAGGATATGGGGTAGGGATAGAGAACGTATTCCTCATCCCTGTTCCTGTTTAAGTAGTGGGAAAAAATCTTCCCATCCCCGCTACGAGAGAGATAAACAAACATAGCTATCCAAATATTTTCAGACATTTTCATAAATTTTCCTACAAAATAAACATGGCTATTTAAAGATGTTAGACATCTGAAATTTCATGCACTAGACGTCTATATTTCTAAAAAAACAAACAGGTCCTTAAAGTAATTTCGTCAATAATGAACTTTAAAGTAACCCAAACATAGTCTAAATCTCTAATATTTTAATTTTGTGTATTATTGGTCTATAAATTTATAGGTCGAGACTAAATTTATAATTTAATATCCTTTGATTTATTAAAGTGGAAAAGGGAAGAGGCGTTGGTTTGCTAAACGGGCTATAGTGTTGGGTTTGTTATCTAATGAAAGTCCACCATTATAAGGCAATGGGCCACCATGGTTTGGTAGAACCGCCCTGCAGCCCAAGTTTGTAATTTAAGTAATAATATTTTCAAATATTAACGTAAATTACTAAATCATTCTTTTTTCTATTACAGTTATATATGTGATTTAAGTAAAAATTTAAGAACCTTTTTTTTCTATTAATTTTAAGAACTTTTAAGTACTCGTTTTGGTTATTGTATTTAAATTTTCATAATGTATTTAATATGATAATATGTCACTTGTTTCAAAATTTAATTAATATTAATCTCATACATCTAGTTTGAGATATAAATTTATAGGTAAGAAAAAATATTGAGTGTCACCTTCAATATACTTCAACTGGTCAAGATACTAATATATGACTAAAAGTTCGTGAGTTTGAATTCTCACCCTATATGTTTTATTAAAAAAGATAAAATATTGAAGTTTAGTGGTAAAGAATAAAAAATATTTAAAGTTTGAAAATCAAAACAAAAAGTTTTGAAAGTATAAATAAAGATGAAGATAATTTAAACACGATTTCAACCCAAGTATCTTTATAACAAAAATAAATAAATAAAATAAAATAAAAATAAGAGGAATTTTAAATTTTATTTTCAAATGAATTTTAATTCTTAAAAATTTATTATACTCCTTGTATTTAGGTATGAGATTTAAAAAGAAAAAAATGCTTGAAAGTTTAGGAGCAAAATAAACATGAACAACAGTTTAAACTTAAAATTCAAGAGAATTTCTAGTTTTTATCCAATTTTAATTTGAAAGTTTCAATTTTACTCGGTTGAACTTTAAGCTTTAAGTGGCAATAAAATGTGATTAAAATTATTTTCATGAACCAAATAAAAATTGACCCAAACGTCAAGTAATAAAAACAAATAGTTCAAGAAATAGTCTTACACTTTTGTCCAACCACAAGAATGCTCATAAGCTATCTACAAACTTAGATTAAAAATGAGTGAGGAGGGTAAAAAAGGAAGAACATTTCTTAAAATTATGGATGGGATTTAATTATTACTCATTCGATTTGATGATTTGAAGGTTGGTACAACATGGGAGTTGATGAGGGAATGATTTGAAAAGAAAGTTTGAAAATGTTTTTGGTTAAAAATGGGAAAGTGATCAATTGGTTGAGTAAAAACTTGGAACTTGAATTGAAATAATTGTGTGGAGCTACCAATACCAATAGCATTACCATTACCATTACCAAACAAATACACAGTCCCACTTGAAAATATGTAGTGTCCTGTCCTAACTCTTAACCACTGGTTGTTCAACCCAATACATCCCTTCCCTCTACCTCCAACCACCAATGCTCTTTCTTCCTCTCTCTCTCTCTCTCTCTCTCAATTTCATTTGGGTCCGACAATTCAACCTTATATCTCGGTTAACCGCGTTAAATTTGGTATGGAAGTTATGCATAAACATAACGCTCGCAACTTCCCTCCAGACCTACCTACTCTTGAAATTCTATCTATCAATTGATAACACTTCGATCTTAATGTATACAAAATTTTGAAAGTAAAAGAGCAATAACCAATTTATTGTTTTCTTATTAGAAGGTAATAAATTACTTTATCTATCAACTATGCTCGGTTTGACTCTTGTAATGGTGCTTAAAATTGGTACGATTGGATTGGGATGAGAAAGGAACAAATTATTTCTTTTTATTTTCATCTTTGGATATTAAAATAAAATTTTCTTATAATTTCATAACAAAATATATTGGGTAAAAGTTATTAAAGTTGATGCGACTCCCACTTTGAAATTTTAACCTCTCACCTCAAATAGTTCATAGTCTTGCTTGCTTTTAATTTCAAAAGGAAAAAAGGGGAGTCTTGTTTTTAGCTCTAATGTTTTTTAATATACTTATCAACTTCTTCTAATTGATTTATTCTAAAAGATTTAATTATATAATTTTTCGAGACTTTTTACATTTAATAAATGTGGAGATGATTGAACCTTAAATAAGTATTTTTTATATGCTCGAAAGGACTCTTTTTGAGGTTTTTACCAAAATAGCATATTTGACTTAAACAATAGTAATATACCAAGCTGTTAAGTATATCAACGTTGTTCTATTTCTAAACTAAGACGAACGAAAAATCGTTCTTCTTTCTTTGCTCTACTCGGGTGAGGACGAAGATTAAAAGTTTTCGCCTTTCCCGCTTTTTACACTTGAAAAGACATGCCTTTGCACACCTGATCGAAATTTCACTTTGTACAAACACTTTAGATTTTCTTTGTAGCAAAACTAAACCAAATAAAAAAGTTTGTTCAAACAGTACCCACTTGGATTTTTTTATTAGGTTCAGTTGAGCCGTTGAGGCAACTTTAAATTTAAATTCCCAAACAAAATTTGGCCGTTGTGGTTGGGTATTGGTCTTCACTGAAATGGGACCCATTTGCCCTTCTTTTTTTTTTTTTAATCTTATTCTATTTCTAAATTTTCATGTTTAAAGTTTTAAACCCTAAATTTCAAACATCTTGAATTTTACCTTAAAATGTTATTTATTTAAGTTATTACCTGCTGAAAGTCAGCATAAGTTGTAGTTCAAGTATCTCATCTATAAATGTCTAGGTAAGTTTTTTATACGTGTTTTTCTTGCATTAATAAATGTCTAGGTAAGTATTTGAAACTACATTTAATTGCTTAAGCCTGTAGTTTTCAAATTGATATTTAAAAATAATAATAAAATAATACGTTGGGAATGTTCTCGTTTCTTGATATTATTAAGAAATCTAAATATTTGACAACTATTTACGTTTTTCGTTTCTCATTTTTAAAAACATTTTCAAAATTGTACAAAAATTTTAAAAACTCGTTCGAACATAAATAAAAATCTTATTTTATCCTTCTTGCATCTATGAATGTTGGATGTCAAGTAATTTTATTTTCCTTTATTAAAAATAAGGGAATAAAATAAAAAATGAAAAGGTTACCCTACCGATTCGAACTCTAATTTTACACTATTAAATATATGAGATAGTTAACTTAGGTAACTATTTTTTCATTCAGGGTTGAAATCAAGAGATCCAAAACAAGTCGAATGTTCAATAAGCAAACTAGTTTAGAAAAATGAAAAATGAAAAAAAGAAGGAAAAGGAAAATTCTTGTAAAGAAAGAGAGACCCCACTTGGGAAATGGAAAACCATTGCAGCCCCATCTTCCTCCTTTTGCCTTTTTTCCTTTATAGTTCTGTACCTGAGTTTCTTTTCTTTCTCTGGTTTGAAATTCAAAATTTGAAAGCTTTCAGTTCCCGACATGACAAAATGATACCCAGAACCAGTTTACAATAATAGAGGAGGAAGAAGCGTTTCCCGAGTTTGGATTCTTTCTTTTGGTTTTGTTTTTGTTCCCTGCAGTTGGAGGTAGCTCCCATGGCAGATTCAGCTTGCCTCATGCAACACCCATTTTCCTACACTTCTGGCTTCCCCAATGAAGCCATGGAGGTCAGTCCCTACCCCATCACACAACCCTCCAATTTTCCCCCAACATTCTCCACACTTCTTCTTTGTAATTTTGTACAATTTGTTTGAATTCGAATTCACTTTCAATCATTGCTTCTCTCTCTGTGTCTTTCTTTTAGGGAAATCATCCCATTCATGCTCTTGGCCAGTCGGTCTCCTTCGGGAGATTCACATCGGAGTCGCTGGCTTGGGAAAAATGGTCCACTTTCTCCCAAAACCGATATGTCGAAGAAGCCGAGAAGTTCTCTCGCCCTGGATCCGTTGCTCAGAAGAAAGCTTTCTTCGAAGCTCACTACAAGAAAGTTGCTGCTCAGAGGGCTGCCGCCTTGCTTGAGCAGGCTAATGCTGCTGCTGCTTCAGACCCTGTCGCTGAAACTGAAACTGAACAAAATGTTCATGAATTTGGCTGCTCTGCTTCTCCGCCGAGCACGATGTCGTCCTCTAATGGCGCCCATCAACAGGAGGTCGAGGTTGCAACTGCACAAGATTTTGTTGCCATTGACAATGGGAATGGCTGCGGTTCTGATCTTAAGGAGGAGAAATCTGAAGGGGCTGATGCAGGCATTGCCCACCAAATGATCGATGCAATTCCCCAGAAGATTGAGTTGAAAATTGAGGTTGAGGGTATTGATTTGAATGGTGTGTTGACTGAAAATGAGTTCAATCAGACACCCCAGATGAAAAAATCCATTTCTAAGGTAATGCAGCTGCTTCTCATTAATGTTGAACTGGGAAACTTGTAGGATGACAAAGGCAAATAGGGGTGGGGGGATTTGAACGATTAGAATGCTATGAGTTTTCTTTTTATACAAATTAGTCCTGAGAAAGCCGGAAAATAAATGTTGATTCTATTGTGTTGTTGCAGAGTTCCCGCCAGAATTTGGAGCAACCGACCACCATTAGCAAGAAAAAAGCAACTTCTTCATCGTCCTCGAAGCTTCCATTGTTTAACAGATCATCTAAGATCCCATCTACACCTGCAAAACCAACTGCTGCCAATTCTTCGTCGTCCTCAAAGATTCCATTGTTTAACAGATCATCTAAGATCCCATCTACACCTGCCAAACCAACTGCTGCAACTTCTTGTCTCAACAATGCAACTCCAAAACAAGTTGCCAGTGCCAACAAATATGTATTGGAGTCTGCAGATAAAAGGAAATCTACTCCTAAATCTCTCAGGATGGCTGTCAATTTTACGCCAATTCGAGAGCTCAATAAGTTTACTTCATCGGTCATAAGAAAGATCGAACGTTCAAAAGTTGGGCCCAGTTATTCCAAACCAGCTAAAGATTGCTCAACTCCTCTTAGGACACCGAATACGGTTGCCACATTTTTCATTTTTGTCTACGAATCTATCTTTTGAAATGGGGATTTTTACTCAATATTTCTTTAATTGTCGGTTGTGTGCACTGTGCAGGCATTGAAGAGTGAGGCCCAAAAGCATCCTTCTGCTACACCCTGGTCAGAAAAGAGAAGGTATAGCTTTTCTCCTGAATCTGCAACTTAAGTTTCATCTTCCAAGTTTTGCAAGTGAAAAGTAACCTCAACTAGTTATCTTTTAGTTTTCATTTTGCCTGGTGATAGCTAATCTAAATTCTTAAGTAATAATTTCAGAAACAAAATGTATTCCCCATTTTCATTCACCCCTTTCAGCTTGAGAACCGAAGAAAGAGCAGCAAGAAGAAAGGAGGCAAGCTTTTGCTGCATTCTTGTCATGTGCCTTTTTCAAATACAATCTCACTCTATGTGTACAAGTGCTAATTTATTGCTTCTTTCTACTTCAATATCTTCAGAAACTCGAAGAGAAGTTCTACACAAATGAACCACAAAAAAAGGTGCAACTTCAAACAAAACTAAAGGTATCTCTTTAAAAATTTTATGTAGTAAACTGTCAAACGACTTATTTACTATGACTTAACGACTAACATTCCTGTAGGAGAAAGCCGAAACAGAAATAACTAAACTTCGTCAAAGCTTCTGCTTCAAAGCCAGGCCATTGCCCGACTTCTACAAGGAGCGAAAAGCTCAGAAGAATGAGGTAAACAAGGGATTTTCCGCTTATTTGGCATAATTTAGAGTAAAATTCCACACATGACGAATTGGTAGAAATAATTCTGTCCCTTTTTTCTTAGTAGGTTTCCACGTCTCATCCCCCGTCACTTGGAAGAAATACCAACCCAAAAACAGGAGAAGCCACAATGTCTCATTCTGGCCATAGGCTTCCAGTTAAAAGCAGCAGAAGCAATAATAAAAACGTGCAGGGAAAGGCTCATTCTCTGTCTTTACAAACTTTAATGTCTGCTCATGAGAACACATCTCCTAATATTCAGCAGTGAAGGTCAAGCAGCATAATCCTTATCAATATTTTCATTTCTGCTGAAGCGTTGAAGCAATTTCCACATATTCATGAGGTAACCAGATCTCGACATCTTAATTACGGTGGATCCATTTTTGTTCTGCTGGTATATCTGTCAATTTTTATGTAAGAAAGCCTTGTTTGATATGAACTACTGTATAAAAATATCAGTATATGTGTAGAGAACATTGATCTGATGGGCTATGAGGTTATCATTATTCATCAGAATTCAACAAAGAGTAGCATCCGAGATTGTCAAAATGGAAAACAGCGAATGGTTAAATGAAAATGATATCCAAAGAACAGAGTTAGATATTAAAAATGTCACCCTCTAATCCTGGTTTTACAGTGAAGTAGTGAATCCACTCTATAAAGTTCAAGTTGAGATTGAACCATTATTCATATCCACATTGATAAAAGTTTATAGAAGCAGAAAAAGTACACAGCCACGAATGGAATGGAAGATGGCTGTTACAGTTAGCCGCCTCTTCGTCTATTAGATTACTTTGTCTTCTTCTACTAAACACCAAGTGTCGTCTCCTTCCACGGCTTCTTCCACAACAAACTCTACTTTACAGTAACTCGTTTCATCTTCATCTTCATCATCCACATGATGATGAATATCTTCGACCCTCGATTCAAAATCTGTTACTTCTAGTGGCTGATCGTCACCATCATCATCGATGAAGCTTGCAGGGTCGTAATTGGCCAGCGGGCAGTCAATGACGAGATGGTGCGACTTGAACTTATGAGATCCCTTGGTTTTATCTTTGGCCTTTTGAACCGGGTGGAACCGGCAGCCGGAGCATCGGGTCTTGCCGCATTTTCCGGTGAACTTGGAGTGGTTGGTAGGCTTGGATGAAACCTTTGCGAAGAGGCCAGCAGTGGGAGGGACATCGAGTTCATTAATCAATCGGGTTTCGGGTCTTGGGTTCCACGGGG